GATCCCCCCCCCCCCGCCCCCAAGTGCCCGAAGTACCCCGGGTAGTACGTAGCCTAGGCCGGCGAAACCCGGAAGGCATACATCGCTCGGTCCCGGCGTTGTAGAGGTGCGAGGTCAATGGTCTACCATTGACGGCATGCATAAACATGAGCACCCCTCACCCCCCAAATGCCTACATGCTACGTGTTCGCCTTGGTCCAGAAAATCATGGCGTGGAAGGCGAGCAGCAGCAGCAGCGAGCTACAGATCTCGGAGGTGCCTTGGGCGGACCTGGCCGGCCTCTCCTCCATCGCCCTCGCCGCCGGCACTGTCCTCGAGCGGCCGAGCCCCGCCAGGCCCGTCGCCAGCTGGCTCTGCGTCCCGGGCGCCTCGAACGTGGGCGAGGAGATAGTCCCGGCTCGGGGCAGCGGCCGCGCACCTCGCGGGCCCCCTGATGACGGCGACGGCGACGACGATGAACCTTCGCGTCGGGTCGTGCGCCCCGGCTGGGTCTGGATTCAAGAAGATGATAACGAGGACGAGGATGGGAACGGCGGCGGCGGTAGCAGCGCGGTTGCTGCTGAAAGAGCGGGGGCAAGGGCGGCGGAGGAGAACGGGGGCGAAGGAGAAGCGGCGGCGGCAGCAGCGGCAGGAGCTGCGCCGTCATCTTCGACCAAGCGCAAGAGGGCGGCGGAGGAGAACGGGGGCGAAGGAGAAGCGGCGGCGGCAGCAGCGGCAGGAGCTGCGCCGTCATCTTCGACCAAGCGCAAGAGGGCGGCGGAGGAGAACGGGGGCGAAGGAGAAGCGGCGGCGGCAGCAGCGGCAGGAGCTGCGCCGTCATCTTCGACCAAGCGCAAGAGGGCGGCGGAGGAGAACGGGGGCGAAGGAGAAGCGGCGGCGGCAGCAGCGGCAGGAGCTGCGCCGTCATCTTCGACCAAGCGCAAGAGGGCGGCGGAGGAGAACGGGGGCGAAGGAGAAGCGGCGGCGGCAGCAGCGGCAGGAGCTGCGCCGTCATCTTCGACCAAGCGCAAGAGGGCGGCGGAGGAGAACGGGGGCGAAGGAGAAGCGGCGGCGGCAGCAGCGGCAGGAGCTGCGCCGTCATCTTCGACCAAGCGCAAGAGGGCGGCGGAGGAGAACGGGGGCGAAGGAGAAGCGGCGGCGGCAGCAGCGGCAGGAGCTGCGCCGTCATCTTCGACCAAGCGCAAGAGGTCCTCGGCGGGAGGGCCTCGAGAGGAGGGGGGAGCGGGGGGGGGGACAGCGGCGGCGAAGCGCAGGAAGTCGCGCAGATCGGGCGCCGGAGTGCGAGTCAGCCCTGTCGGGAGCGGCGGCAGGCTCGGGGAAGACGATTCGGCGTGGGGGAACGGCGAGGTGAACATATACAATCTCTGTTTCCTGTTTTGTTTGCGATCATTCCTGTGTTGCTTTTGTCCGGAGGTACTTTTTTGTGTTTTGTTTTTTGCTTGTGTTTCTTATGGTTCTTGTTTTTGTTTGTGTGGACCACTCCTGTGTTGTTTGTTAAGAAGGCTTTGCTGAGCTGTGCTGCCTGTAGAAGGTAAACTCTCCCTGTTGAGAGGAACCCGGCGAAGTTGCTTGGGGCCGGGTTGCGAGATGAGGAGGGCACAAACTTGAGGCAGAGGCAGACGTTGCCTGTGAGTGCCAGCAACTCGACCGTTTTCCCCAACACCTGGACAACAAACTGGCCCTCGTGCGTTGTACATACTTGTTTTTGTCCCGCTTCAATCCGGACTGAACAAAAATGAGATAGTCCTCCGTGCCTTGTACGTACCTTAAATTGTCGCTCCACTCCTCCTTGCGGGCTGAACAAAGAAAAGGTATGATTGTCCTCTTGCCCGTGGCCTCCCCAGTCGTGTACCATACCGCTACGCTGTTTTGGGGGATGGATGTTAGCGATTGTCTTTTTGGCGTTTTTGTTTGTGTTTGCTTGCCCTGCGTTTTTGCTTGTAGAAGAGAAGACGATAAAGTGCCGATGGCACGCGTCGTCGACTTGTTGTCGGCCCCCCGCCCGACCTCGGCCCCCCAGTCCTCTCCCGAAGAAGGAAAAAATCTCCCGGTAAAAAAAGTCGAAAATGGTTCCGTGTTCCGCGTATTCGCACTACGCCTCCCAGAGAAAAGCAAACCCCTCAACTTCCAAGAACCGCGGCGGAATTGCGGCTCGGGCAGGAGGCCCCCCCCCGGGAGAGGAAGAGGTGGGTGTTGAAGCCCTGGATGGACACCCGAGAGCTGAGCGTGTGCCTTGAGGCAGATGGGGGGGGTTGTGACGGTGCACTCCCGCTCTCTGCGGGTGGTCCTATTTCGGGCGGCGGAGGTTTGAGCTTGGTGTTGGTTGTGAGAGTTTCCGAGCCCTCTCGCTCGCGACCCCTCCTCAACAGCAGAGGGTGTGCGCGAGCGGATCGAACGGTCTGGAGGTCGAGCGAGTGGCCTGGTGTCCCATGTGGGGAATTTGGTGTAACACAGACACTCGCATTTCGGTTTGGACTAAAAAGTTTCAGGGACAGCTCGATTGCTGCCTGATAGCATTAACGGACGCCGATAGTGTATATGCAAAATTCTCTCCGGTCTTTCCCTCCCCCCCTCTCCCTCGTCCCTTTTTCTCTCCAATTCTGACTGTCGGTCTCTCTGGCTGTCTCTTTTTCTCTCTCTTCCTGCCCGTGTTTTGTCTCTTCTGTCTGCCTGTCTACATTTCTATTTCACTTCTCCCTCCTCCCTCCCCTCTCTCTCACACACACTCTGCAGCAGCAACAACTCAACCTTCGAGGCTAGAGCGGATGACACCCCATGTGCACCTCTCGCGCTGTGCTGCCAGCACAGCAGTCGTGACTTTTATCTCGTCGTAGGCAATCGCTTGTTGCTTGCTAGTAGGAGAGGTTTTGAGAGGTTCGACCGCATTAACAACCAACAGCTTTCTCCCTTTGAAGCGAGGGCAGAATTTCCTGAGAACTTCCTTCCGACAGCAGTAGCTCGGTCTTTGTGTAGTACAGCACTCGCCGCCACTGAAGAGCCGTTTCTTGCTCTCGAGGGTGTCTTCTTGGTTGCTTTACGTATATGGGGAAAACAAACTCCAATCTCGACCATGTACGTTGAGGTTCAAGCTTTTTTTTTTGTGTGTTTCTTACCTAAAGCGAACAAGTCAATCTCAACCCACAGGCAAGAGCCCAGGATAAAATTTAGAGTAGGGGGGTTATACTTGGAAGATTACAGCAGGTTTTTACCCGAAAGGTGTCTGTAAAACCAAGTATTCTCTAGGTGGTGGCGCGGGTTGCAACGCGTCTATCTCTTGATCTTACGCGTCCCACAGCGGTCAAGTCAATTTACTACAGCCTCGTAAGGAAAACGATTGCCGAGTGACAGCAGAATGGAGCTGCAAACATCCGAACTCGACACGTTTTTTACCACGGAAGGGGGCAAGAGGTGTGCCCGGGCACCATGCGGTCTTGTCGGCCTGACGTATGCTTCGGTCATTGCGACAACCATGGAACGGAATTATTTAACAGCAGTCTCCGTGTGCACAAAGTCCACAGCCGAGCCTTTTCATCATTATTATTCACGAGGTCTGCGCCCACTGCTATCGGTCACCGTCGTGGACGCCAAGGTTGAGGTTGCATGTCTGGGGGAACGTTGGATGCTTTTACGAAAGCACCCGCACGCTCAGTGTTAAGGGCACTCTTATTGTTTTTTTCGGGGGCGGTGTGACCAGTATGGTGACGAACTTGATCATATGTAGGGTAAGGGAAAATGTAGCGCATATGGATATTCTTGACCTTGCGCCCAGATGAACATGTTCGTTCTCTTCATACAGAGCGGCACCAGTTCTTGCAGTTGGCCAAATCACGGCCACTAATCTCGCAAAAGAGATCACCCCAAGATTTGTGCCCGTGGGCAACCAGCAGCCTGCCCCCGTAAAAATAACGCGTGGGTTTCAATATTGTGTAGTCTACCTGGTACCTATGATACGGTGTTCATGTTTAAGTTTCTACTTTTTTTCGGCTCCCGCTCTCCGCTTGATATTTGATATGCATACGATCTTTTAGTTTTGCATCTTCTCCTCTCCTTTTCTTTTTTTCTTTTGCTCTCGCTCCCTACGCTTGCACGCTCCTTCGGTTGGTCGTGTGTGCGGCGTGTCAGGCGAGGGGCTCAAGTGAAGGACCGCCCTCCATGTCCGACTTGGCCACCAAGGACGAGGTGCAGCAGGCGTTGGCGTGGAAGCTGAGGGCTTGCGACGAGGTCAGTACGTTACCGGCGACGCCCTTTTCTTTCCCACAGCATGTTCTCGACGGTGTTTCGTGTGTCCTACTGTAGTAGAGCATTTCGACCCGAACTCCAATTGCGAAAAAGAAACGTCAGAAGAATAAAGCAGAACTCGCACACTGCTTCTGTAGGTACTGGCGCGGTGGAATTTCGAGGCGGTCGCCTTTTCGTTGAACGCCGCACCCAATTGCGGGTAAATTAGCGCTGCGCCAACCTAATGCGAGGCAATTATGCTGCGCCAATTCAACCGTACCCGCCTCTTTCCCGCTTAGATCTGCGTTCCCGGGTGTGTTTTGTTCTTTATTGTTATTTTGAACCGCTTTTTTCGTGGCAATAGAGTATCGAGGTGACGTTCCGTGACACGCCAAACCCAAATGCGAGTGAAGCTGCGGTGCGCCAATCCAACCGCACCATCGTTTTGCTCTTGCATCGATTGTGTGATATTCTTGTGGTTGTATGTCGCTCTGTGAAGACGTGTGTCCCTGAAAATGAGCTTGCGTGTTGATCGTACGCGTACGACGGTTCGTTTCGCTTGTTGGCTCAGCGAGAGTCTGAGCTGAACGGTGTTATTGCAAGTGCCAACGCTGCGCTGGAGGAGAACAACGACCGCCGGAAGGCAAGTGCAGAACAACCAACAACCCAAAAAACTCTGAATTTTTTCCCGAGGCTCGTTTGTTGTTTTGTCCATGAGGTAGACTACCCCCCCCGGGGACTAAATTAGTTTAGGCTTCTTGACGGAGCACCTGTTCTCATGGTTAGACTATCCCCCCCGGGGACTAAATTAGTTTAGGCTTCTTGACGGAGCACCTGTTCTCATGGTTAGACTATCCCCCCCGGGGACTAAATTAGTTTAGGCTTCTTGACGGAGCACCTGTTCTCATGGCCAGGTTCTTATTTATTTATTTTTTTTCGGCTTAAGTTCTCAAGTGGTGGCGCGTTCTGTAGAAGGCGGGTTCTCAAGTACCGTCCGTGGGTGTGCTCCTGTTCTTGTCCAACAAGAAGCCGACCCTTTGATGACAAACCCGTATCGGTTTGCGATTGGGCGAGCTGGTGACCACGGAGGTTGGCATGTAGGGAGGTTGGGTTTGCGAGGAAGAAGGTGTAAAGGCAGAGGTCGAAACGGCTCATTGTATTGGTGATGATCAACGACAACAACATCAGTGTCAGTTCTAACCTCCTGAAGTTGGTGTGAACGCACCAAACTCGGGGCGTGTTGCAGCACGCAAGGCTGTTGCTTGCTTTTTGTGACAACAAAACGTTAACTGCCTAACCGAAGTTCAAACTGATGTAGCGGGCTGATACGGGCTGTCGAAGTTCGTCACACGTATTTGGCCGGAATGCATGCAGCAGTAGCGGCCCCTGTAGGAAGCTGCTTGGTGCCAGGGGATGTGGACGGCCTCATTTACTTGCACTCAGTTATGTTTCGAAGTGCGAGATAACTTCGTTTGTCCCCATGTGTTCCACGAGATTTCACCGCCATACACCTGCGCAACCCACGTACCCGTGAATCTGCCTCCTTCCAGACAACTGACCCCGGGATACTGTTACCCACATTGCACAGAGTTTGCAAAGGCCGAAATAATGGCAGTGCGAGATTTTATTACTGCAGTTATCCGCGCCTATTATTATTGTTTTTGTCGCACACTCTTCACTGAAGGCGGCGGTCGCCGAGAGTGAGAAGCAGCTCCTGTCGATCATCGCGCAGCGAGAGGCCAAGGCGGCCCACTGGGAAAAGGCAAGTCGTGACGCTGGGCGCTGATGAGATCCGTTGCTCTCAAGGACAAATGTTGATTTCCAGGTCGCTGACATTTATGCGATTTCAAGGCATTGCGTTCTGGCGGGGTCATTCGTTGAACGAAGTGCATCTAGCGTATATAGCAGCTGCTGGGCATTGCACGAGGATCGGCGTGATCGATCAGGAAAACTTTTCTTGTCAGAAGAAAGCGGACACACAATCAAAAGTAGGTCGTGCCTCCGTCTTGCGCCTGGCTACTGCTTGTAGTGACACGATCCTGCGAGGGCGATGCGAATGCCTTTGGGGAGGAGATAACCCCATGTTGCAAATGCTTTGTTCGGGAAGAGGAATCCCCTATGTTGAATCATGTCGATACAATAATTAGTTTCTCTTTACGCTTGATGAAGTTTACGGTAGGTTATCAGGCTTTGCCTCTACACTGGCCCTTGACATGGCTAGCCGGGCGAACTTCCACATTTCCCCCCCGAGGATTGTATGGGAGGCGAAGTGGACAAACAAAAAGAGGGGTAGACAACCCACGGAATGGGTCAAGGTTATAGAGGACGTATGGAAGGGGTTCGACATCGACGAAGATGAAACGCTGGAAACGGAGGGTCTACAGGGGTTCAAGGAGAAGATATCTGTTGCTTGTGCCGAGAGAGAAGAACAGAATCTGAGGAAAGAATCCAAGGATAAGGAGGGTCTAGAAGTGTACGGAATGTTGAAGGAAGGAATAGGGTTCAAGGACTACCTACATGGACCAATGGATGCAGGAACAAAGCTTAAGGTCAAATTCAGGACGGGGGACATAGGCCTTCGAGAACGTCGACGAAGACATAGGACGGTAGACGAGGAAGACGACGAATGCGAAGACCGTGTTCATGTAGTCGCGGAATGTCCGTTTTACAAGAAGGAGAGGGAAGTGTACGTGAATGAGCTGGGAAAAATAGATGAAACGTACAGGGAGATGTTTGAGGCATGGAATAGAGAGG